GCTGGATGTTTGCTCCCTCAGCTACAGATTTACTGCTAGCCACTCCAGCATTATAGCCGTAGATTGAGTTGATGACTTCTCAAACATAGCATTTTGGGATGCGCCATTTCCATCTATGGGCTGCTCTTTCAGAGTGCCACGAGAACCCCTTAGAACGGTATTTTTAAATCCATGTTAAGTGTGCACGTAAAGTCTTTGTACACTTTCTAAAATCCACATAGCTGGTAAGTGTGCACGTTATGCTTTGCCCACTTTCTAAAATCCACATAAGTGGTAAGTGTGCACGTTATGCTTTGCCCACTTTTCTAAAATCCTGTACGGTAAGAGCTACGCGTACAGCTTTGTGTTCTTTCTGAGTGGTTTAAAACCCCGGTTCTGCCTTGGGCACCACTCCTCCTATGTATCCTCTGGATACCTACTTTAACAGGGTGTTGCTACTAGGGGTCTGTTGAGACAGTTCCTTCAGCACATACAAAGAGAAACGTGCGGTAGCCCCTGTGTGAAAGGCCAAGACTAGTATGATTCTAGGCTCTTGGTCGTATTCCCTTAAAGGAATCTATTCCAGATTCCAAGCCTTGAGCTCTACCCCGGGCCCAGGAGTCTGGCCCTAACAGGTCAGCATTTTGGGGTATGTAGCCTAGGCCTTTGGCCGTCACTGACAGCCGTCTAACGAAGTCTGTCTCAGTTTATTCTGTTTCTTCATGTCATTCCAGACAGACTGGATGATGATGATGAGATCAGATCTCTGTGTGGAGCACTGGCTGCTGTGAGACTCCTTGTGCAAACAAAAATCTCACTGGATTATTACAATTAATGGCAAAATGAATGTTTGGAAATGTAAACTGATATTTCCTACTGACACACTACAGCAAAAGTTAGAAATAACTGACTTAAAACCATTTTTTAGCTGGTGAAAATATTAGTGTTTTACTAATTTTGGCCACCTCTGTACAATCAAAATGCACTAAAACTACCAAAACACTTTATACATGTCTCAAATTAGCTAATTCTTCACTCATAAAACATGACTTTAAAAACACTAACAACAGGTAGCATTATATGTTTGCTTTCGTAAAAATTATACAATGTTTGCTCTTGTATAGATTACTACCACTTGCGTAGGTACTCAACTATATCAAATTGCTTTGATAGTATTTTTTTTAATTCAGAATATATTTCAATACTATATTACTGTAAAAACGCAGCAAATTCTGTCATTCATTTTTGAATTATGTTAGGTTATGAACTTAAGTTTTGAACAGTTTTGTAAAGAGTAAGTAAATGTCCAAGCTGGCTCATAGCTATATCGAGTTTTGGCATTGTTTGTGTCTGAGAGAGAAAAAAATTTTATTAGAAAGAAGCAGTCATTGAATGCATTTTGTGCCAAAACAATTATAAACGATACACAGTTTAGCCCATACAGGCTGCTATTGTGCTCACTGTGTGAAAAGTTCTGAAAAGTATTGAGACATGTGTCCTAGTGATTGTAAATTGTTTTACAATTTAAAACTAAATGCACACTGTTCGTAAGGGTGGCATTTCCCCCCACCTTACCCTCTACATTACATAGCATAGCATAGCCGTTTTTTACAACTGGCTACAGTGTAACACTGACAATGAAAACAGCATAAACCTACTGATGGGATATTTATTGTAGGGTTCTTTGTTGAGCACATCAGTGTGTTGTTGGTTGGTAGACAGATATTTTCACATGACATGTGATTGCATCATTTTGGTGAAGAAAAAATGGGCCAAAAATTCAGCAAACAAATGTTAGCGATTGGGGAAAACTGTAAAATAGAGTTTAATGAAGTGTTGCAAGCGATGTGTGACATTTTGTATTTTGTGTGTGTGCTTTGAGGTTTTGTCTGTAGAGTTATAGGACATATTATTTAGGACATATTTATAGAAATCATGTGTAAGCACTTATTAAATACTATAAAACTGTGACAAATGCTGAGAATTAATGAATGCACGAAACAAAATGAGATTGAGGTATTCCAGAAAGCTAATTCAATTAAATAAATTGTCTAGAATACTGTGGAAGATATTGCTTACCCCCAATGAGCATAGTACAAACAGAGAAAATCTTCTCAGCATCAGTGTTGGCACAAACGTTGCCGAAGCCCACACTGGTCAAACTGCTTAAGGTGAAGTACAGAGAGGCGATGTAGGCACTGCGAACTGAAGGACCACCTACTGTACTGTTCAAATAGGGCTTGTCCAAACGCCTGCCCAACTCATGTAGCCAGCCTGAAAGAAAGAAACTAATGTCAAACTGCAAGTTAGTGCTGCACGATTTGGCCAAAAACCCATATGATAATTATTTTTTTCATATATTGTGATTGTGATTTGAACATCTCATAATGTTGCATAGACACACATTCTGCTTACAATAGAAATAGTTACTTTTAAGGGTATATTCACTCTTCAGGGTATTCAAGTATTTACTCTTTAAAAGAACAATTTTCTTTCAATGATCAAAAAGTAAAACATTAATTTATAGTATCTTTATTTGTGTTCACAAAATAATGTCAATTATGATGATAATATAATAATAATTATAATTTTTTTGCACAGTACAATAGCAAAATTATAATACTAACATTTGTATTTACAAATATGTATTACTATTTATTTCTTTGCTTTCAGCATTAATCCACCAAGCTTCTATTTTGGTGGAAAACTACAGATTAGTTGACAACAAGTATATACATGCTTCTTGTTATAAATGTGGTGCAAAAGCTATATTTACAAAATTCTTTGAAATTATGCAAGTGGAAAAAAAGTTAACCTGACACATGTTGCATTTTCAAATGCATGTTATAAGCAACAACAACTAAGAGCAAATGCAGAGATGGAGAATGTATTGGGTTGTGCTGTGGCACACAGTGATTCAGCCAGCACTGAAGACATCTTGTCTCGTGCAAAAGCCCCCAACAGCGTGATGGCAAACACAACCACCATCAGCTCCAAGGCACTCTTCCCCAGCTTAATGCCAAAAACCGATGAATAGCTTGCACGCTCTTAACTGTGAAATGCACACACATAGTCACCAAGTTGAGTTGGTCTCTCTAAGACCCATTTCTCAATACTTTTTTGAAAAACTTGTCTATGTGGGCAAACCTGTGGATAATTTTCCTTTGTTTTGGCACAAAAGAACTCTTTTCTTACTCAGACAACCACCAACAAAACTCTAAATACCTACAGGTCATAGAAAACTGAATAAGACAGAAATTTGCTACATTTGTACAGCAATACCATAATAAAATTAGAATCTAGTTCATATTTGAAGGAAAAGTTTATTAATATAAGGTTCTCCATTTTGGTTATTTTTGGCTCCACACACATTCATAAAGTGCAAATTATGCTCACAATTGAGACTAGTGCAAAATACAGTGTTATCTTTTGAAAAGATTTCTTTAAAGAGCAAGAATGACAGATCTCAACTGTTTGGAATTCACTGCAGCATACTTTACATGGTCAATGTTTACATTACAGAACTGTATTTAACTGAGTTATGTCTGTTAAACAAATGGAAGCTTCTAGACAGATAAACATTGCGATCACAAACTCATTTTCTGCTTATGCTTTCTGTACAGCTGTTTGAGGAGTTATTATTTTTCACTTGTCTATTTTTGTGGTTTGTGAAGCTAGTGAAAGCTGCCCCTAAACAGCATGAAGAAACAAAACCTGGTCACTTTACGCATTGGTCAGATGGCCTCTTCCTATCCTACTCCTAAGTGGGCGTTCTTGGCCAGAATAATAATTAATGTGGCTTCATGCCGATAGTCAAAATCTGGTTCTGTGAGACTTTTCAAGGGAACATCCCATATAACTTGATAAGAACACCAAGCAGATCTTTTAATGATTTATTTGACTTATCAGAGTGTGTGAATATCTCACCAATGTCCCAGGCTCCATTGGCATTGGTCTCCATCTCTTTGCGCCCAATGATGTACCAGATGCAGGCCATCCAGTGAGCCAGCAGGGCAAACATCGACATGAGCAGTGTTAGTACCATGGCGCTGTACTGCGAGTATCTGTCCAACTTCTGCAGCAGTCTTAACAGACGCAACAATCGCACAGTTTTCAGCAGGTGCACTAGAGATGTCTTGAACAAGCACAAACATGTGTGTGTCAATAGCCTATGTAAATAATAATACCTTGTAATCACATAATTTACTTTAATTCTCCAAAAAAACTAAAACTAAACTAAAAATACCATGGTAAACAAACATGGTAATCATTCTGTACCATGGCACATATATTGTATGTAGATAATGGTACCATCACATAACTTTTTTTGTAAATGACCTCTGGAGATTTCTTTTGAACCACCATACCCTCCCAATTCTACTATTTTTAAATTAGCCAATTGGAAAAATGGTTTCTACATTCACACATGTGGACTTACGACAGTAATGTTAAATGCATAGAGCAGGTCAAAGGGCAGCGCGGCCACCAGATCCACGAAGAACCACGTGGTAGCATAATGTAGACAGATGGAGCGAGGCTCGTACACCACCTGCCCTGATTGACTCACGTAAGTGGTGCGAAAGTTAAGGATGATGTCTGAAAGAAAAGGTAGATTAATGACATTTTCTTGGAAAGCCTCAGTCTCTTTTGAAGCATATATTCACTTATATATATCACAGGTGGTAACTGATGTTTTATGTATTTATGTGTAAACCATCTGATGGTACAAGGTCACTCGTAGGTTCTTTCAGTGAGTAGACTCACCTAGAATAAAAAGCATTTCAACTGCGATATCGCTAACTATCGTGCTCCTGCCTGCAGTCTCCACATCGCTGTATGCTGTGAAACACACATTGTACGGCACAGTCACAGCAACATAGAATGTAGCCAGTAGAATCATCCAATCCCACAATGCCTTGGACACACTGTAATGCAGCAGGATGAATCGAGACTTCTGGACTGCTGCCACTTTGTACTCAGGCAGGGATGGTTTTTCAAACATGTCCTGAGGGAGAGAGGCACAGATTAAAGAATGAGAGCAAAGAAATTGAGAGATGAGTACTCTTTTAGCCTAATATCTCAACTTCTTCAAGGTAGCAAGAAGATTTATATGATTCTCATGATCAAATCAAATCAAAGTCAAATTCTGCCCTAAATATTACTGCCAAGGAAAAATGATTTAGTCAAGTCTCAACAGTAAGTGACTTTGATCACTGAAAGGAATAGTGAAGTAGAACTGACAGAATAATCTGTTAATTTTCAGAAAATAACAAGAAACTAAATTTAATTTTTATCTGCAAGGACACTGCATGACAGATGATAAATCTTGGTGTTTCTTTAATTTTAATTTAACTTTTACATCACAGAGGTTGGGGCAAGCGTCAAGCTCATGGTCTTTGGTCATGATTAATTTGAGGCAGCAAATCATGTGGTTTCTAATCCTCCATGCAGTAATCTGCAACACTCTTCATTAAGATTAAAGAGTAGACCTGTGATGTCACTGAACACACATCAGAGCCTCATGCCCTTAAATAGTCTCTATGAAGATATTGTGTTCTGGGATTCTGACAATATTCATTTAATATAGAAAAATGTTGTTTAGGGCACTGCTTGAAGTGGGGGAAAAAGTGCTGTACACTCTAGTGAGACACCCCCTTCCATTAGAAAAATAATATGAACAATAAAAAAAACTCATATATCATCATTTATTTTATTATATTATTTTTAATACAATATTTTTAATATAATATAATCTGAGATTAGCCACATCACGTAGTACATAAAAAGAGTAGCTCCATAACAGATACAGTACTAGTTAGCTAATTTCAATTTAAATGAAATTAGCACCAAAAATCACAGCTGTCCTCCCTTCTTCAGTTGCTCGCTCATAAGCTGTTTTACCCGGTTTGGTTCACTCAATAGTATTTGTGCGTTGTACTTAGAGCTCCCGCGAAATTAATGTAGGGTGTGACGAAATTTGAACACAAGTGGTCAGAGGAGACACATTCAAAATGAAGTTCCAAACATAGGTTTGGGAGGAGCCTAATCATTCAGGCCTGTCACTCAGCATTATAAGCCTATATAAGCAGCAGTCCGCTACCTCCCCATCTCCTCCTCTATTTATGTTATTCTCTCTCTATGTAGTACTTCAATGGGGGGTGGGGGGGCTTGAACTTGGGGCTCAAGCCGACCCTCAGGTTCAACGGACGGACGGTAGACCAGAAGGTAGGTGTGGGAGAGGGTAAATGAGATGGGACTGGAACCTGGATCCCCATGAGAACATCCATCCAATCACTGGCAGTAGGCCAAGTAAAGACACCCATATGTCCTTTTCCCTGGCCACTTCCTCCAGGTTATCCTGTGGGATGCCAAGGTGTCCCCAAGCCAGTTGAAAGATATGATCCCTCCAGCATATCCTGGGTCTGCCCCGGGGTCTCTTCCCAGTTGGACGTGCATGGGCTGGAATACCTCCACTGGAAGGTGTCCGGGAGGCATCCTGACCAAATACCCGGGCCACCTCAACTCAATTGGCTCCTTTCAATGTGGAGGAGCAGTGTCTCTACTCCGAGTCTCTCCCAGATATCCAAGCATTTCACCCTGTCTCTCAGTGTCAGCCTAAACACTGTGCGAAGGAAACATGATCTCCTCTGCTTGGGAAAGCATCTCACTCCCTTCCTAAAGCAGGCAATCCACACTTTATCTGGCTGAGAACCATGGCCTCAGGAGCTGACCCTCATTCTTGAAGCTTCACACATGGCAAGTAAATGCTGAAAGTCACAGCTCAATAAGATCCTAAGACCATACCCCCCCCCCCCCCCCCCCCACCAACACCCCCCCCCCCCCCCCCCCCCCACAACAGGGTTGAAACTAAAAACCACTAAAAAAATGAACTATTTCATTACTTAAAATAAAACATTTCAGCTACTTGAAAAGTAAGTGAAAACAGAAAAATATAAAAATAAAAATCTTTATATAAAAAATTTAATGTTTATAAAACTAAAAATTAAAAATATAAACAAAAACTAAAATAGTATATCAATTATGCTAAATAAATAAAAATGACATATAAATGGCAAAAAAATTAACTAAAATTATAAAAACATACAACAACATTACCAAATTTTTTTTACATGTCAACAAAAACTATAATAATATATCAGTGATACCAAAAAACACTGATCTAAAGTAGCTTGTTAAGAATGTTAAATGAAAATTTAAAATTAAATGTTAAAAATGTAATGTTAATTAAGTGTTCATAAAAATACACATGCTGCTCTGGGAACCACTGAAACTGAAAAATGTATAAAAAAAAGGAAAAAAGAAAAAAATTTTTTTTTAAAGCAAAAACTACTAAACATTACAAAAGCATATAAAATTACAAAACAACAAAAACAAAGCAAAATTACAATAAAAAAACTGAAAACAGGAAAATAAAAGCTGACTGAAAGCACTAATAAAAAACAAATTAAGTGTAAATAAAGGTGCTGCTTTGGGAATCTCTGCAATGACGTCCATTTATTGGAGGTCAAAGTGAGTCCATCTGTTACACCTGCAGCTCTCGCCTCCACCAGGTGTGCTTTACATTTCTCCATGTTCTGACTCATGGATTCTCACATACACACACACACACACACACACACACACACACACACACACACACACAC